ATGAATTTTAAGAGCTTTGTGAAGCAAATACCGAGAAGAGGCCAATAAGAGGGCGAGATTGTCGGCGTTTGGCGAGGGAGAACTTATTTTCTTGCATCATTGGGTTTTCCAGCAGTGTCTTGAGGTGAGTTTTATCTCCTCCAATCCCATCCCCATTTTTAATTGATTTTTATTGAGTTTTATTTGGTTTTTATTGATCCTTAAACCTAGTTTAAGTATGAATATTGTTCTCGTAAGGTATATGATATAAAGATTCAATATTTTTTCTTTAAAAAGCTATAAAAAAAATTCTCTAATGTGAATTTAAGATCTGAAATAAAATTTAATATGATTTTTTATTGAGTTTTATTGGTTTCCATGATGTTTTTGATGAATATGAACATGTTAGGGTTTAGACAACTTAACTAGATATCATGTTTGTGTTTCATGTAGATAACTGAACCCTAATTACATTAAATAAAATTTATTTTATGTGTTTTCATGCAAAATTAGCAATTTGTAGCATTGTACATAAAACTGAAAACTAAAACCTGCATTCTATTTGTGCTCAGGTCGGTCGACCGAAGTGAAGGAGTCAGTCGAGTCGGTTGATCGATCCCTATTAATTTGTATGTGCATATTTGTGCACGTATTTTAGTTGACCGAAGAGTTATTTTCGATCGACTGATCTGTGTTGCGCTATATTTGTTGTTTGATTGATACATGAGTTAATCATGAATACGAAGTTCAAATTCGCACATCGAGATACGTGTTTAGACACTAAAGTATACATTTTGGGGTTGCATTCGCACGAGCGATAGAGGTGAGTAACATATTTTCCCGAGATTTGTCATAAAAGATAGTGACACATATATTGCATTTCATGATAGTTGGATGCTTGAGCGCGTTAGTTGGTATATTGCAATAAGACCGTAGTAGACTACACCCAGGGTGGTTAGTTGGTATGTTGCAATAAGACCGCAGCAGACTACACTCTGTTATGCATCATTACTGAGTGGGATAGTTGGCACTCCGCAACGAGACCCCGGGGGACTACACTCAGGGTGTGTTAGTTGGTATACTGCAACGAGACCACGGTAGACTTCACCCCATGTGTATTATTATATTTCTAGATAGAGAACTACACAGATTTTATTTATGATTCCATGTTAGTTACCCAAGAGTAGGGTATATACTGAGGTTGTCATACATAGCCTATTCTATGCGAGATGGATGTATCGGATGATATTCTTTATGACTGCGCCAACTACCCGAGGGTAGTATGAGTATTTGATGTGATTTGTATTGTTGAGGTCTGTACTTGTGCTTCTTTTATTTACTGCTTCATTCCTAGGACTCTGGAGTTGGGATTTAGCGATTCACAATTTGAGATATGGTATATACATGAGGGTTTCCTTGTTTGGATTATTTCGCTCGACATACTAATTCTCGTGTTGTGGATTTCTAAATCTCAATCTCCTTTTAGTTCAGGATAGATGATTTATATTTATTTGTACTAACTTATTTTCATATATGCTCCTAACCCTCCTCCCACTGGGGGCGGTGGAGATGATCTCGCTAGCGCTTTGACACTCGCTGTTTCTCCTCTTTTCAGGTAACGAGTTAGGCGCACGGAGAATCACAGATTGATGGAGTTTCGGCTTAGTCACCATCTTTATTTACATTAGTAGTTATTTATGCTCCATAGTAGTTTATTATTTATTTTTAAACATTTAGATTTGTATTATATTTTTGGAAATGCACAGTGCCTTAGTAGCATTTCCATTGACTCTATGTATTGGGACATTTTACATTTGTTTCAGTATTAGTTGTATTTTATTTATTTCAGTTGGGAACATAATTATTGACTATTTCCAGATATCTCTTCTTTATATATCATGTTCATTACATTATTACATTCATTTGTCTGTTTTATACCTACACATGTTGTTTGATTCCACTAGAGAGATATTACTGTGATGATGAAACGTGTTATTGCACAGTACAGATGTATGACAGGTTTGACATTCTTGGATTAACCTTAGACTGCAGCTTTATGTGAAACCAGGAGCGTCATAATCTTGTCATCTTCTAAGCTCCTTAGTTGTTACAATCTCGTCTTTAGACAAGTATAGAGTGTGAAGGCTCTTCGATAGGAGCCCGGATTTATTTATAGTGCAAAAGAACAGTATATTCGCCACATACAAACCAATTTACAAATGCTAGTCCTTTTTGTGTAATACTTATGAAATTTCTTGATAAATTGATGGTCTGGAGGCTATAAAATGTCGAAATTGAAGGGATGGCTTTGGGTCCCATTACTGATATTTGAGCAACATATGAAAGGGAACTTAGAGATTGGATCACATTATTAACTGCATAATCTCCTTAGCGGTCTGGTAGCCTACATAAAAAGGAGTGATTCTCTTCTAAAGACCCCTAATCTTAAATTCCCCACTTTTTTGTTCCTCAATCTCCCCATTATCACTAGAAAAATTCCTTAAGGACCCAAAATATGGGATCAATAGGGGGACAAGTATGGTGTCCCCCTCCTATTGAATAACGAGTTGGCCATCATTAATGATGGCCAACTCATTATCCAATAGGAGGGGGACACCACACTTGTCCCCTCTATTGGTCCCATATTTTTGGTCACTGTAGCAAAGCTCTTATCACTATCGTGTATCAAGCAAACTCAGTTTCATCAATGCTATTAACCTAAGCATTGATTCTATCCAACGGAGAAGCGCCCAAATTAAAAGCAACCCATTGGCTTTTACACTCCTCAACTTTATTTTTCCCCTTCTCGGGTGCTTGAGACGGCACGATAATTTTTACTGGTGATCACCACCTCTTCCTCTCCTGCCATTGTTTGGCTCTTGGATTTGTCTTTCTTGGGAGAGGGCAAGAGTAAAGGATGAGGGTGAAAATGAAGGTTATTTTAGGGATTTAGATAAAATACAGTATACCATTAGTATATTTTTTAAATGAAAAAAAGAGTTGAAATGCATTTTTCTTTCACTTTAGGGGTTGTTTGGTTTGCTTAAAAGATTTTCGAAAACTCATTTCCTCCATCTGACAACAGTGCCACCTCGACAAAACTCATTCTAGGCTTTTCTTTTCTCCGCTTTGATTCGCTTCTTCTCCTCGTCCCTCCAGCCGCGAAAACCCCCTCCACCTTAGCTCTTCGCCTTCCCCCATTTCCTTCAAAAACAAGATAAAATTGGTGTAAAATAGCCCAAAATTTGTACTATTGTCAAATTTGCGGCTTATTTGGGCAAAACTTATTGATGGTTAGAGTTACCACCGTTTTCCCTCTTTTTTCACTCTTCGCGCCTCGGTTCCTCTCTGATGCCTATGAGAGTTCTGAAGTGTTGATTTTGTGCTTGATTTTTTATTTATCAAGCCTCGGTTCCTCAAATTCGTATTTTTTTCTAGATCTTACTAAAAAGGCAGCACCTTTATTGGGAAAATTTTGTATTTTTGCTGGATCTTCCTAAAACCGCAATCTAAGGTATGATTTCTATAATTTTTAGAAATATTGTGATGAAATTTAGATGTTGCATTTTTTAGAATTATTCTGAAATTTTCATGTTCTTATTATATTGTGTTTTTTTAGAGTTGTGCACTTATTTTTGAGTAAATTTTAAGGAATTATTTCAAGTTTAATCATTTTTGGAAAAGGATTGATATGTTGGCTAGTTATAGAGAATGGTTTAATTATTTTTAGTGCAACTGAAGTTGGCTTAAAAAATCTTAACGACCTACATATCTTGGATTTTAAACGAATTTTACTATGACCGATCAACTCGTGATGGTTTAACTTGCAAATCAACCTTCTAATTATATCTCTCTGAATCGTATTATTTGTGTACATACAATATCTTTAATTTGCCTGCATGGTTCTACTTTGCTACTATTTTAATCTTCCATGGACAAGATTCTCAACGGTCTTGTTTTCCTACAATGATTGATATGTTGGCTAGTTATGAAATTCTGGATTTTAAAATGGACTGGTACGTTTACTTGGTGGTTGGATGTGAAATCTGACAATATTTATTTGGACCAGTAATTTTTCTGCTGCTTTTGCTCATAGTTTTGAAACCTAACTGGTTTTGTTTTTTGTAGTTGACTCAACTACTCAGTCTCAATTATCTACATATTTGGTATTTTCAAGTTTGATGCGATTTTCCATGTCATATAGATATTTATGACTAATCAGGTTGTTTATAGGTTTTTACAAGTTTCATAAGAATTTTTCATTAATTCAAGTACCTATTTCATAAAATTATGAATAATCATGTTATTACAAAATTCGTGTGATTTTTCATGTCAAACAGGTTTTGTGTGATTTTTTTCATGTCAAACATGTAATTTTCATGTCAAATCAGGTATGTAGTTCATAACAGTTACGATAATCATGTTATTGCATGTTTCATATGATTTTTTATGTCAATAAGATATTTATGATGAATTTGGTTATTTACTGGTTTTTCATGTTACATTTGCACTTTTATTTTGGTAAGATTCACAAGTGAAAAATGAGGTATCCTAGACGAAAAATTCCGTCTAGGAAAATCAGAATTCCGTCTAGGATGAATATCCTAGATGGAATTCCATCTAGGATTCGCGTCGAGGAAGTCTCCGTCTAGGATGTAGCATTCTAAACGGAAATTACGTCTAGAATATATCCTAGACGGATTATTCTAGACGGAATTCAAAACCTTCTAGAATAATCCTAGACGGAAACATTCTAGACGGAATCTCCGTCTATGATACTCATCCTAGACAGAAAAAATTTCCATCTACGATAGGTATCCTAGATGGAAATTCCGTCTAGAATGTTTTTTTTTTAATATGCATCCTAGACGGTATTTTGAGCATTCTAGACGGAATTTCCGTCTAGAATGCTACGCTACAGTTTTTTTTTTTTTTTTGCAGAATCCACTTTGAATGCATGTACATAATATTGAACAACAACAAATTATATGGATATCCAACACAATCTAATTATATTCCAATATCAAATCCAATTATATGCAAATAGTACATAAATTGTTTACAAACTTTTACATAAATTATTTACAATGGATGTTAGTGCATCGGCAAATAAGGTCTACCAGAGGCATGCCACCCGTTGAAACCGCAGTCATGAACCATAGAAGATAACACTACAATAGCTTGTTGGATACGTCACATGAAAACACTAGTTTCTTTTCTGATTCTCACAAAATATTAGGCTAAATTACTCACACAAGTAAAAAATAAGGCATCCTTGAGGCTAGCAATTTCGTCTTCTGACAAGCTCTCAACAATAACCTAGAAAACATTGTCGTTAGTATGAAGGATTGAAACACTTACAAAAAATGAGAAAGACAGTCCAAAATATCAAACAACTATTTGTGTCTCCTCTTCAAAAAAATTCGAGCTTGGTTTTTTTTTTGCATGTGTATAATTTAGATAGCATGTCTTAAGTCTTAACTTAAAATAACCAGGTTCCAGACAATCAATTTCTGCTATACCAGTAGCCAATCTTAACTTGTGTTATACATATGCCCTAGAAGCCAAGAGGGGGCAAAAAACTTCTAGTAAACAAGATTAAAAGTGATAAGATGCATCTGTTGCTTTAGTCCTGATAAGATGCTAATAAGGTGAAGAAAAGAAAATGCATGTTTGACTTATAAAAGAGAGCAAAAAATCACTTTTTTTTGTTTGCTTAATTAAATGACTTCTTGCATATAGTGTCACATGCTAACATGATATGCTTGCCAATAGACAAATTAGTTTATATAAAACCATCGAGCTACATCTTAAAATGGATTGTCTTCCTATAGTTCTCACTTCGTGGGAAATACTTAAAAAAAATAAAAACTTGTATATACACTTGTGGAGACAAAAGATAATCTGGACATCAATATAGATTATAGCCCAAATTTCATGACAGTGATAATTTGGAGTTCTACTAATATGAATGAATATTATTAACTTTACTAATCTTGAGAATAATGATTGTGAAGACAATGGGATATGTAAAGAGATAGAAGATGAAAACAAATATCAATGTATCTAAAGAAGACCTTACAAAATCAAAACTAAACAAACAATAAAAATATGCATTTGATATTATAAGCCAAAATATATTCTCAAACACTCTTGCATTTTTCTTTATAGATGGTCCGGTTGGAACTAGAAAAACTTATTTATATATTACAATTGGAGACAGAACAGAAAAACTTGCAATAGATGACATGATAAGACGTCCTTCCCCTCTGATTGTACCTTAAGTAGATGATATAACTTCTTTACATAAACTACTTGAATATGTAATCGCAAATGTACAAAATCTTGCTTACTCTCCTGAATTAATAACTAATTGAGCAATGATAACAGTTAAACATGAAAATACTGATGAAATAAATAATTTACATTTTACCAGGTTTTCCGGACAACTTATCACATATCATAGCTTGGTCAAAAACATTGATTCATCAGAAGGTTTATGCAATAAAATTCGTTTAATCTATTGTTGATTTGGAGGAAAAAAGTTATTAACGCAGAGATAGCAACTAGACATCATCGTGGAAAAATAATGTTCCTTTCAAGAATACATCTTCAACCATCAGAGTGACAAATATGCAATTTCATTTAAAAGAACACAGTTTCATGTTCAATTTTTCTTTCTATGACATTTAACATTGCATATGGACAAACATTGGATTGTGTAGGAATTTACCTTCCTTAAACCGTCTTCTCTCATGGACAATTATATATTTCCTTATCATGTTCTAGAGCTATTAACTCTATTAAGATACTCAAAAAGCCAAACCTTAATGACTCAAAGGAATGTGAGTCTTGCCTTAATTAAAAGAAAAAGAGCTCTCTCTCTCTCTCTCTCTCTCTCTCTCTCTCTCTCTCTCTCTCTCTCTCTCTACGTGCATACATACAAACATGCATGTCATTTTCCAGGGAAATGCAAGTGTAGGAAAGGCCGCATTTTATCTACAATTTGATGCGCCACGTCCATTTCATGGGTCCCTAGAAACACTATCATGTGGAACACCAAAGGAACAGTAGACTAATATACATCATTATATTAACTCCAAATGGATCTCTATGTAATACTATATTTTTCGAAATAAAAGTGAAAGTAGAGAATATATGAAATATCATGTACACAGCAGACTAATGTTAGTGGACCTTAGAAAAATAAATTTTCCCTACGCTGAAAATAATTTACTTATATGCAGCAGAATTATTTTTTAAATTCAGAAGAAATAAATTTTCATTGTTTATTTTTGTCAATATACCCCATAATGAAAAGTGGTGCTTGTGTGGTGCTTGTGTCAATTCAGATGCACCTCACCCATTGCAATATACCGATTTGCAAAGTGGTCATATACCTAGCATCGTTACCAAATCAAAATATAGAAATCTCCAAAGTTACATGATAGTGTGGCAGAACACGATAAATTTGACATGGAGTTCCTTCCACATTAACGATTGTTCGACTCTACAAATATGATCTATATTAATGCATATACAAAAAAAAAGGAATCCTCTTTTATCAAGTAAATTGTGATACTTCTCATTAACAACCTCTAATAAAGGCTAAAAAAAAAGGAATCCTCTTTTATCAAGTAAATTGTGATACTTCTCATTAACAACCTCTAATAAAGGCTAGAGAACAGGACATCCAAATAGCTCTAAATATCTATACAAAAAGGAGGAGTCTTGCTCTGCAAAAGCTTATTTTGTCAAATAATGCTTTGGAGAACTTAATCTCTCTTGAAATTGTGTTAATTACACGAAATTGTTATCCAAGGTTTGATTGTATTTAAAAATAAATAAATGACAATGTAACTGTAAGTCATCAATTTCATCGTTCACTTCCTGCAGGCTCATGATTCCATAAGGAATCAGCAGTTAACTATTTAAAAAGAAACTACTTTAACCATAAATTACTAGGGCATAAATTCTACACTAGACAAAACTTACACTAACAATTCAAAATTAAGAGATTTGAACTACCTCCAAGAATCGAGCTTCTTGTTCAAACCTCTTGAGCTCCGCTAAGATCCGGTGCTTCCCTCTCGTATCGGCGAGGATGGGCGGCGATGCCGGAGGAGAGGGAGGGCTCGGGCACGAGGTGAGGGGCGAGACGATGACGGGACGACGATGTCGAAGGAGGATAACGACGAAACGTCGAGGAGGACGACGGGACAACGAGGAGCTGAGGGGCTGAGGGGGAGGCGACGACGGGACCAGAGGAGGACGTCGAGGAGCTGAGGGGGAGGCGACGATAAAACGTTGAGGGGGAGGCGACGATAAAACGTTGAGGGGGAGGCGACGATAAAACGTTGAGGAGGACGACGGGAGGGCGCGGGATCGAGGGGGACGGGACGAAGATGTTGAGGAGGACGACGGGAGGGCGCAGGATCGAGGGGGACGACGGGACGGCGACTCTGACCTTTGAACAGAGGAGAAGAATAGGAGGGCGCGAAGAAATTGGGAATTTAGGGTTTGAGGCGGGAGAATTTAGGGATGAGGCGGGAGAATGGGGGGTTGAGGCGGCAATTATAGGCGGCAGAAGTTAGGGGTTGTGGCTTATTTTTTTTATAATAAAAACTGATCTGAGTATCTTAGACGAAAATTTCCGTCCGGGATACAACCCAGACGGAAATTTCCGTCTAGGATGCTTAATTAATTTTAAAAAATTAACTTAAATAAATAAATCCGTCTACAATACTATTCTAGACGAAAATTTCTGTCTAGAATAGTATATCCTAGACGGAATATCCTAGATGAAAAATTTCTGTCTAGGATATTACATCCTAGACGAAAATTTTTCCGTCTAGGAAATTAAAATTTTTACTAGTGATTAGCTCCCATAACGATCACAAATAAATTTGTCTTTAGTGAGTGCTAAACTTACCATGAT